GTGCCACCTGGACTCCTCTCTGAAGAGCAGTCTTAATGTACTTCTTATCCTTATTCTTCTATATGTCAGGTGGGTTTTGTTTCATTTTGGTCTTTTTTTTTTAAAACTGTCTTCTTTCAATATTTTCTATTTGTCTTTGGTTTTCTGGAATATGAGTATAATATACATATAGAGAGCATTTTTGGTATTTATTTTGTCTACTTGCTTTTGTCTGATCTGTGACTTGGTGTAGGGCACTTATTTCAGGAAATTCTCAACCATTATGACTTAGAATATTTATTGTTTCTCTCTTGCTTCTTCTGGTATTCCCATTACATGATGTTAGACTGTATGTCCCACAGTTCTTAAACACTCTGTTCTAAGGCGTTTGTTTGTTTCCTCTCTTTAGTTTTTCCTTTGCTTTTCAGTTTTGGCAGTTTCTGTTGACATTGCTTCAAACTCATTGAATCTTTCCTGAGCCTTACCCAGTCTCCTACTGAACACATAACAAACTGCCTGTGTGCAGTCCCGTCTTATTGGTTTCTGGCATTTCCTTGTGATTCTTCGAGCAACCATCTATGCTGTCCCTCGCTTCTCGCATGTTCTGTACCTTTCCCATCGAAGCCTTTAACATCTTAATCATAGTTTAAACTTCAAAACATCTTCCATGTCTGAGTCTCGTGCTCATATTTGCTCTACTTAGACTCTTATTTTTTTCCTTTTCGTAAACCTTTCAGTTACTTGTCAAAAGCCAGGCAAGATCTACCAGGGAGAAGGAACTGAGATAAATAGACTTTAATGTAATATAATGCTTTATGTTTATCTGTCTAGGAGTTAGTCTGTGAATACTGCTTATCACAGCCATTGGTGTTAGTAGCAAAAATGCTTTGTGATGTTAAGGACTCCTTATTAAATAGAGTCTGAGCCTTATCATTATTTTGAGACGTCATATCCTGTGACCATACATGAGTCCTTTTGATGTGGTAGCAGAGAATGAAGGCGAGCATTCTGTACTCCTGTGATAGAACTCGGACTTTTAGTTAGACTGTGCCTGGAAGCTGTGTTCTCGATAAGGTTTTGTTTTTTCCCCTTCCCCTTTAGGTAATACAGGAAAGGTACATGGCACTGGAGTTGGATAGCCCCCTGACCGCAAGTTGAAGGATAGAAGGGCTTTCCATAAGTGATTGCTTGGTGTTGGGCGCCATAAAAACAGGACCAATGAGTAACAATCCCGGGAACAACCAAATGATCGTCTGCCATCCCTGCAGTGGTTGTTGGACTCACTGTTGTAGTTCCTGTGTCATTCTGTCTCATCCACGGTCTTCTTTATGTTGACCTTCTACTGTAGCAAGCATGATGTCCTTCTCCAGGGACTGGTTCTGCCTGATCATGTGTGCAAAGCACGTGAGACAGGGTCCCTCAGTCCTCACTTCTGAGAAGCATTCTGAGTGTACGTCTCCCAAAGCAGATTTGTTTGTTCTTCTGGCAAGCCATGGGATATTCAATATTCATTGCCAATACCATGATTCAAAAATACCCAGTCTTTTTTACCCACTGCCCAGCTGTTGCATGCCTGTGAGGCCACTGGAAAAAACCCTGACTCGGGTCAGGTGCAGGATGACCTTCAGAATGACACGTTAAAGATATCGTTTGCAGCAGGTTTTCCCAAAGCCATCAGTAGCTTTATTTCTTGACTGTCGCTCCAATGGGTGCTGGCTGTGGACCCAGATAAATGAAATCCTTGGCAACTTCAATATTTGCTCCATTTATCATGCTGTCGCTTATGAGTCCAATGGTGAGGGTCTTTGTCATTTTACATTGAGGTGTAATCCATGAAGACTGTAGCCTTTGACCATCAGTAAGTCCTCTTTGCTTTCAGCAAGCAAGGTTGTGCCATCTGCATATTGCAAGTTGTTGATGAGTCTTTCCTCCGTTCTGATACCAGATTCTTAACATAGTTCAGCTTCTTGAATCATCTACTCAGCACGCAGATTGAATGCATATGGTGAAAGGATACAACCCTAACACACACCTTTCCGGATTTTAAACCATTTCATCTCCTCCTCTTTTGATAGAATAGTTGCCTCCTGGTACATGCACAAGTTCTATACGTGGATGATTAAGTGTTCTGAAATTCCCATTCTTCTCAATGCCGTTCATAGTTTATTATGATCGGCACAGTCAAATGCTGTTTGCTTTCAGTGAAACATCTTTCTGATATTCTCTGCTTCCGGCTAAGATCTGTCTGATGTCAGCGATGATAGTCCTTGTTCCACATCCTTTTTAGAATCTGGCTTAAATTTCTGGCAGCAACTTGTCGATGTACTCCTGCAATCATTTTTCAATTGTCTTGAGAAAAGATTTGTTTATGTGTGATATCAGTGATATCGTTCTATAAGTCCTATAATCTGTTGGTTCACCTTTCTTTGGAATGGGCATACATATGGATTTCTTCCGGTTGGGTGGTCGGTAGCTATCATCCAAACTTCTTGGCATAGTGAACGAGTGCTTCTAGTGTCACATCAGTTTGTTGAAACATTCCAATTGTTATTCCATAAATTCCTGGAGCTTTGTTGTTGGCTAATGCCTTGGAATTCTTTCAATACCATTGGTTCTTGCTCATTGCTACTTCTTGAAATGATTAAACGTCAACCAATTCTTTTTGGTACAGTGACTGCATCTTCATATAGTCCTTCCATTTTCTTTTGATCCTTCATCACTCAATAGATTGTCTGTAGAATCCTTCAGTATTGCAACTCAAAGCTTATTTTTTCCCTACAGTTTTTTCTTTCCATTTGGGAAATGCTGAGTGTGTTCTTTCCTTTAGGGTGTTAAGCTTTAGATCCGCACACATTTCATGATAATACTTGTCTTCTCAAGCTGCCATTTAAAATATTCTGTTGAGCACTTTTGCTACACCATTTCTTCCACTCCCTCTAGCTTCTCTACATTTTTTACGTGGTCAGGCTCTGGAAAAGTAGTGTGTCTTGAGCAAAGACCTTTGCTAAGGAGAATGCTTTGGCATATTTCAGAGTGGTTACTTTTTCCTCCCCCTGCTGAAAGGATAGAAGATTTTTCTTTGATTTTCACAGCGTCCATGATGGGAAAGTGTGCGAATTCTCCTACCGATGGTCCCCTGACGATTTTTATCTCTTAAGTGAGTCTACACTCAATCTTAAGCATTTATTCAGTGATTCCCCTATACATTCCTACCAGCCTTCACCTGCAGCTTCTGATGCTAGTGAGCTCGAATTCTCTGAAATCACCTGGCAATTCTGTGACCTCCATCCACTCATGGATCTACGGAGAGGTTTTGATTTTTGTTCTGCTCAGCTTTTTCTTGCTGTGAGAAAGGGAGTGTCCCTTTCCAAACTCTTGACATGTCATATCAGAAACCCAAAGTCCAAAATCTTTTGAAGACAAGTACTCACAAGCACTATCTATCTATTCCAAATCATCTTCATGCTATAGTTTGAAATGATGAGGAAGGAGCACAGATCATGGCAAGGAGAAAGGAGAGGATCTAGGGATCTGGATGCCAGGATGGGGAGAGTTGTGTGTGTAGGGGGGTGGGGGGTGGGGTGGGTGCAACTCCTGTCATTTGCTTGGTCCGGACTAGGGTGCAGTGACCTCTCGGTCTCCTTTCTAGTCCTAGTCACAAGGTTGGTTCAGTCAGGTCACAACTTGCTGCACTAAACCCTCTAATCCCACTGCCTAGTCCTGAGAGGAAGCAGGGTGTAAGTGGAAGTTGATTCCGGGTAGAAGTTGTCTACAGATCCCAAAGCTGTGGGTGGTGTGTGGGTGAGAGCATTTGGCCTTATCCGATTTGGAGAAATATTTTTAGCCATTCCAGATTTGAAGCCTAAGTGGCTGTGGGAGGTCACCATCTCCCACTCTGTACTCTGAATTCCTGGAATTTTACCCCTGAGCTCTCTGAAGGGCTGCTGTATAGAAAGAGGAATGTCTTGGGAGGAGATTATTCTTAGAAAAGGACAGTTCTTTTGTTGGAATACCACTCAGTCCACACCATTCATGGAAAATGATCAGACTCTGCAGACTTGTGAGCAAAGTGTCAGAGGCCTCCGCTGAGCCGTGATCACATTTACCGGCTTCACTATATTTTGTGGTGACTTTTTGATAGAGTGGAAGGGAGTAAGAAGTAGTGGTTTGTGTAAAAATAGAAACCGATAGTTGTGCCTTCTCTTTTGTAGTTTTGACTCCCCCCCCCCCTGCAATTGTAACTCATTGTGCCATCCAAAACCAGAGGAAAATAATATTGTAGAATGGCTTGAGCCAAGGAATCTGGCTGTGCTACTTACTCTCTGGAGCCCTCGTGGTGACATGGTCGCATGTTGGACTGCTAACCACAAGGTCAGCAGTTTGAAACCACCAACTGCTCCACAGGAGAAAGATGGGGCTTTCTGTTCCCATCAAGAGTGCCAGTCTCAGGCACTCACAGGGGCAGTGCTGCCCTGTCTCACAGGGGCACTGCACCCCAGGAGGGACCCAGGGGCCGTGAGCCATGTCTTCAGTTACACTTTCGGAAGGCTTTCTTTCCTGAAGTGCGGTCCTGCTCCAGGGCGGGTCCGTGGATACTGTCTCCCTGAGCTCAAAAGGATACCAGGGTTTTTTTCTCTTAAAAAAAAGGCATTTGCAAAAAGAAAAAGATGTTGGCCCAAAGCACTTATATGTTGAGTGGTTGTGCCTGCCCCACACCTTTTTAACCTCATTTAGGAAAATTAACCTTTATAGAAGCGAATTCAACTCTCAAAAAATTAAAAACCAAACAAACCCTAATGTGAATAATTTAGATCAGCTGCCATCACTGGCTGTAACACTTTGGTCACATGATCTGAACTTCTAGCCCACTTGAACTTGTTTTGCCAGAAAGTCAGGTGTAGCTCTCTCATCATTTCCCCAGATTTGTAACATTTCTATCTCTCCAATATAGTCTTTATTTAAACAATTGAGCCTTACTCCTAGCAAAGGACGTGACTCTTTTAGAGTAAGGTTGAAGAGGAAACCCAGGCCTAAGTTATGATCTAAGCACCTAACATCCGCTATAGGAACATGCAGTTCCTATCCATGTTGAGAACCTGAGACCACTAAACTGTCTGCCTCATCCAGTTACCCTAAATCCCAGCCTCATCTTTCCTTTCTCCATCCCACCATTAGGAGCCCTGGCGGGCGTAGTGGTTACGTGTTGGCTATGAACCTCAAGGGCAGCCATTCAAAGCCAGTAGCCAGAACGGAAAGAAAGATGAGACTTTCCACTGTAAACAGTTGCAGCCTTGGACACTCTCGGGGGCAGTTCCAAGCTGCCCTTTGGGTCGCTCTCAGTCATCCACTGGATGGCCGTGAGGGTTTCATTTTATTCCACCTCTAGCACTTGCCCCGTGGGTTTCCAGCACGCTTCTCCCTGAGGTCATTCCAGCACTAACTGCAGTGATGCTGGCTGCCAAAGAGCTGGAGCTGCTCTGGTTCTGTGTCGTGGGGCCGGCTGGTGTCTGAAGCCTCTGTCGTTTACCTCTCGGCTGCTTGCTGACCTTAACTCTGGAAATCATTCCTCCTCCCACTTCCTTCTCAATGAACCCTGGAGAAGGTTTCTCTCTCGGCTGTTTCAAGTGTCCTCATTCCTGCATCTCATTTGACAAAAAGCAGAGACAAGCTCCGGTGCCGGGCATGGGGCGACTTAGAAAGCAACAGCTTGTTCCCCCAAGAGGGTGGGGGTGGGGGTAACTTTCTGTTACCTGTGTACATTTTATCCTCTTCTGTTAAAGAAAGACAAATGATCACTTTCTCTTCCGTGTCTATTTGACACTCGGTTCTGAGTTGGTTTTTAGTGTTGATCTGGGTGAGCACATACAGGGTGGAACATGCACACCTCCATGGATTTCTCCTTGGACAGCTCAGCCCCGTTGGGTTCATCCCTGGCGACGTGTCCCCATTCTCTCTCTCTCAGATCGTTGCAGCCCCAAACTTCTCCTCCGTGATATTAGAGTTGCTGCTGACAGTGGAATCTCCTGTCGATAATTCCTTCAAAGTGTACAATGCCCATAGCGATGATTCTTTATTAATGTACTTTGAAGATGACTTCCGGGGAGAAGTATTTTCTCTTACTCTGAGTTCCTAAAATCTGTGCAGATGCCTTTCCACAATGGTGTTGTAAACATTTCCAAACTAAACTCACTGCCAGCTAGCCGCTTCTGACTCATGGCGACCCAGTCGATCAGAACAGAACTGCTCCTGTGGGTTTGTCCCTCCTTATGGGAGTAGAAAGCTGCCTTTCTCCCACGGAGCAGCTGGTGGTTTCCAACAGCTGAACTCGTAATCCCCTACCCCACCAAGGCATTTAGCTGCATAGAAAATAGCTACTAACATTTATTTCTGCGCCCCATTCCTCCGCCCGGAGTAGACTCCCCTTCACTGTCCAGCCCGTGTCTGCTCCTCCTAACGGCCCGTCTTTCTCACTGAAGGGCCCTGCGACGCCCCCAGGACCAGATCGTCTTAGCGCCAACGCTGGCGAGGGTTGACATGGAGATGACTCAGCTAACCCGGGAGAACGCGGACTTCGCCGCTCGGGATCGCTGCCACCACTCTTCCTTCGTGAGGAGGGGACAGCTGATGCCTCAGTATTAGAGGCAGCCCCGGGCCTTCCTGTCTTGGAGCTGTGTGCCGAGAGGAGCCGGACCCCCGCATCTTAGAAGAGCTGCTTCTCCTCATAAGACACGTGAGGACCTGCCCTCCAACTGCTGCTTTGGACCATGGGAACTCAGATGCTGGTCTGCGACACCCGCTCTGACCCAGGGCGACCCAGGGAGAGCCGTGGCCTCTGCCCCATGGCCCACAACCCACAGGGCTCCAAGGGGTCACTGAGCCTAAGAGATCCAGAACCAGGTTGTTCTGAAGGCCACTATAAATGATTTCCCCCCCATGTAATCGTGTTATTTATTTAGTTCTTGAATAAATAATGCAGTTGCACGGTTGGATTCGCAATCCCAAAGTGTACGCATCCATGAGTACACACGGGGCTTTAAAAAGTTAGTGGAGAAATTCCATTATCTCCTCGTTTCATTGTTTCGTGAACTTTAAAAATTCTCTCCTAAAATGAAAAGCCTTCCTTGTTTCCCATCTGTTCAGTTCCCGTCTCCTGCCCTAGAGGTAATTACTGGTTTGAGTTTTCTGATATCTAGGCCTAGCAGTTCTTCATGCATGTACAAACATACAGTAGGATTGTGCATTCTTATCGCTCTTTTTTAATATACAAATGGAGCATATAATACATATGTGCTGTACCTTGCCTTTTTGCCTTAATGTAAGTCTTGAAGATATTTCCATATCAATACATATTTCATTTCCTTATGATTTTTCCGTGTAGGAGTAGGCTGTAATTTATTTCACCAGCTCTCCAATGATAGACATTTGAATTGCTACCAATCTTTTGCTATTACAGCCAGTTGTGCAGTGAATAATTATGCACACAGATACAAGTGTGTAGGATAAACTCTTAAAAGCAGGATGAAGAAATGCATCAACAGTTTCACCCATTTCTTAGCTACTCTGGTTGAATGAAGGTCTTCCCAACTAAAAAGCGAAATGACCAACATTTCCCAATGGTGACAAGCATTCTTTAAAGTATTTGTGGTCCCCAACTCCCTGAGCATCTTTGCAGCTATTTGGCACGGTGAATGCCTCAAAGGATGAGGCCTATCTTGGTCCCCCGTGAGCTCCGTGTGGCACTTGGCACAAGCATTCTGTATGGGCCGGGGGTTGGCTTCTCCCAGATTAATGCTGCGTCCGTGCATTCTCCACTCCACTCCGCCACAGAAGAAAGCGTGGTTGGGCCGTTTCCACCCTCCTTCTTCTCCGTGGTGGTTGCTAGGTACCCTTGAGTCAGCTCCCACCCTTTGCAACTCTGCTACAACAGAAAGGCTCACGGCCCGGGCCTGCGCCATCCTCCCATGGTGATGGTGGAGTCCATTGGGGCGGCCACTGTGTCCATCCATCCTGCTCAAGAGCTCTCTCTTCTTCGCTGGCCCTCGACTTGACCGAACATGGGGCCCTTTTCTAGGGACTGGTTCCTCCTAATAACATGTCCGAAGTACTAGAGGTGATCGGAAGTTAGTGTGCTAAGGAATCATCTGGAGTGCTTGCTCTAAGTGGAGCATCCTGTCTCTCACAGACTGTAAACTCTAAGTTTGGGGCACAGTCCTGGGATTCACATCTTCAAAAAGCGCTTCAGGTGACTCCACACAGGCCGCCCTTGGGACTCGCTTTCAGAAACATGCTTCGAATGAGGGCATGGTGAGAATGTTACAGAGAGGAACCAATTGGATCTTACAGTTTTATCCTGGGAAATGAGATCTACCTTCGGATTGCAGAACGGAATGAGCTGCTGCCCAGCCCATGGTCAACTGCGGACCAAATGGTCATGGTCCTGAAGGTTTTCTTTGGCTGTTCACAGATCTAGTTTAGCTCCCAACCTGAACATCAGTACCAGCTTCAAGAGTTAGTCATAGGCACGTGGGAAAACAAGGGCTGAGTTGGCTGACTGCCGAGGGCCCTGGGTGACTAGAAGCCTTTATTGACTCTGTGGCGAAGCTGATGCCAAGGGCTCAGGCAGAAAAAAATGTTTTGAGAATCATGATGGCATCAGATACACAGATGTACTTGAGAAATGGATGGACGGATGGCTTGTCATAAGAGCTGTACGAGACCCCAATAAAATAAAAAATAAATAAAGTAGAACAAACACGCACAATTCTGTATAACAAGCTAAGAAAGGAACGCCGCTGCAAAAGGTGGTTCTGAGGTTGAGAACCAGACACAGCAGTCGACTCAAGGATCCCGAAGGACCATCTGCCAACACCGGTGACTGGTGTGGACGGGACAGGAGAAGAATCGAGTGTGAGAAGAGATGCTGTGCTCCATGCTGGGGACATTTCAATAAATGGCCATGTCTAGGGCTTCTCAAGGGACGCTCAGAAGTTTGGTATTGAACTAAAACTAGATTGTGTGAATTACTAAAACTAGGAATTAAACCCCAAACCAAAGCCACTGCCACGGACTCAGTTCCGACTCAGTGACTCTCTAGGGCGGAATCGCACGGGCACCGATGGCTCTTTAAGGTTTCTGAGACTGAAAAGCAGTGGTTCTCAACCTTCCTCATGCCGCGACCCTTTCAAACAGTCCCTCGTGTTGTGGTGACCACCCAGCCATAAAATTATTTTTGTTGCTACTTCATCACTGTCATTTTGCTACGGTTATGAATCGGGTGACCCCTGTGAAAGGGTCATTCGACCCTCAAAGGGGCCGCCACCCACAGGTTGGGAGCCACTGACCTAAAACGTACTGAGGCCAGATGGTGTTGCAGAAAGATATTAGCTTCTGTTTCTCTAGCGTCTGCAGGTCATATCTTATCAATAGATCCTTCATTGCCCATCTAGAAAACAGAAGATTATAGAGAGCCTGGTGCCCCAGGGTCATAACCTGAAGTCCCAGCGCGCCTCACCTCCGGTGCCCTGAAACTTGAGCCTTGAACAGATGCCTCTGTCTCTTGGGGTGGGCCGGGGGACCCAGTCTCTGCTGGCTAACTGGGCCCTGACCGTTTTCAGTATAGCATGGTGTGGGCCACCAGCTCAGATGAGGCAGAGATGTGTGCCTGCTCCAGGGCATGTGTCCCGAGCTGGGCTTACCTGAGAGGGGTAGCCCAAAGGATTTCATCCGAGTCACTGGCACCAGAATTGCTAGGTTTCTAGAGTCAGTAATACCTCGGTTCTTGGCTTCGTATGATGAAAGAATTCACTCCGAAGCCCATTGTGCAATCCAAGTGGGTTTTTACGAAGGACAGGACAAGTTTCAGGTATTATAGTCCCAAAGGGTTCACAACTAGGCACAAGCAACCTTGTGGAAAAGCACACTCACATGTGCAGATCTTGGGGGGATCCTGGGAGGCCAAAATCCCAAGAACCCTGAAAGCATGTGGTGAAGAGGCTGTGGGCCCCACTGAGTAGGCCTGGAGCTGGCCCATGTGCACCCACTCCAGGGAGGGAGAACCTCCCCCTCTACCTGCCTCTGACCAGGAGCAGGGTAGGAGCGAAGAAAACCTCCCAGCCCAATCCAGAGCAAGTCTGTAGTCAGACATTAGCTCATAAGTCTGATATGAGTCCATAAATCTCTCTTTAGACTCAGTCATATGCAATGATGCAAAATGCAGGAAGATCACAGGCCGGTTGGTGGGTACAAAGTCTTGTGGATCCTGTTGCAGTAGAAGCATCTGAGTGCTGGCACAGGTCTCCATGTGGCTCCTCCTGCTCTACAAGTGTGGCTCTTCAACAGGAAGGTGAAGCAGAGAGAGTATTCCCAGAACCCTCACGAGAAGGCCATGCTCACAAAGAGGCATTGTGAGGGAAACCAGCCCCTTACAACTGTATCATGGGTCCAGTAGGTGCAATTGTAGGGTTATGATATATAAAGATTATAGTAAAGTCATAGAGAGTAAGATAGATAGGAGAGAGAGTAAAATCAAGAAGTCAGACACATTTCATAGTAGCATGCTCACCTGGATGGCCATGATTTCACCAATCAGGTCCATGCACAGCATGAGCAGGGAGGGCAGGAGAGTCTCTCTTAATTTCTGGCTAAGGCCCATATATACTTAGGGGCGTGATTACAGGTAACCACACACAGGAAGGGGCTGTACAATAAGCATACGTGTGACAGGAAGGGGCTGAGCTAGGGGTGTACAAGCAATAGGAAGGGGAAGAATTAGGGGTGCATATGTGACAAGATGGGTGGACCCTAGACTCAATATGGGAGTCTAACCTTGGTCATCCTTGAGTGGGCTCGACCTCCCTAGGCTCACCTTCAGGAAAACAATCTACTTATCCGAAGGGAGTGGGCCCTACCTAGGGTGGGACGGACTATACAGTCTGATTGTTTTAGATGGCTGATAACCCTTAGGGAGAATAACGTCTGACCTGCTTTCGTTGACCTCCAAGTGTCCAGTCCTGTGGCCCAGGCAGCATGTTAGGTTTGGTGTATATTTAGGGGAGGCAACTTGGGAGAAATCTTTCTGTATCCCACAAGACAGCATCAGGCTGTGACTTGATTGACAGGCTAGACTCCACCCCTACACTTATTTATGAAGCCGACATGCAATTCTGCAACGACCACAGTAAGGGTTGTTATGGAGGATGCAGCTTAAGGTTGAAGCAAGGCCTCTTTCTTCCTCTGGAATAATCCACTTGCCCTGACTTGAATGAGTAGGGACCATGAGAGCGAATGACCACCAGCCTCATGACACAGTCAGAGAGGGACAGGGGTCCTTTCAACGCAGCTCTGCCCAGCAGTGAAGCATCCATAACCAGAGAAAGGAGCAAAAGGGTGGGGGCGGGGAATGGGGGGGGCAGAGGTATCCCCTCTGCTGTAGAGTGGGAGGCGGATGGGGAGACAGGTGGCAGTGTGGCGAGGTGGACGTGGAGAGTGAGGGAAGGTGGAGAAGGGGCCCCGGAAGCAGTGAGTGCGGAGGTAGAGGCAGACTGAGGGCCTTTGGGTGGCAGAGAAGCCCACAATGCACTCTGCCAGCAGTCCGGGAAGGTGCCCTGAAGGAGGACAGTGGAAGCAGTCGGCTGGCAGAG